AGAAAACAAAAAAATTAGCGGGGCGTGGTGGCGGGTGCCTGTATAACCCCAGCTACTTGGGAGGCTGAGGCAGGAGAATCGCTTGAACTGGGGAGGCGAAGGTTGCAGTGAGCCCAGATCGCACCACTGCACTCCAGCCCGGCGACAGAGCGAGGCTCTGTCTCAAACAAAAAACAAACAAACAAAAAAAGAAAATGAAGGTAGAAGATAGTGAGTGATTGAAACACCACACACACACATAGCATACACACACCACACACACACATATGCCATACACACACCACACACACACATACACCACATACATCACACACACACTACACATACACTACCACACACAGACACTACACACACGCCACACCTCCCCACACACATACCACACACACCACACACACATATACCATGCACACACCGCACATCCCCATATACATCACACACATCACACACACACACACTACACACTACACACATACTACCACACACAAACCCTACACACACACCACACCTCCCCACACACATACCACACACACCACACACACATATACCATACACACGCTACCCCACACACACTACCACACGCACCACACACAAACACTACACACACACCTCCCTACATACATACCACACACACCACACACACATATACCAAACTCACACCACACCCCCCATATACACCACAATCACACACGCACCACACACACATATACCATACACACGCCACCCCCCCACATACACCACACACATCACACACACATATACCATACACACACCACACACCCCCATATACACCACACACATCACACACACACCACACACACTACACACATACTACCACACACACCATGCACACTCTAACACACAACACACACACAAACACTACACGCACCATGCACATTACACACCTCCCACCCGCACCACACGCATATACCATACACACCACACACACAGAGCACACACACCACACACACACAATCTCACATACACCACACACACACCAACATACACCACACATATCACACGCACCAACACACACTACACACACAACACATACACACACCACACCCCTCACATACCGTACACACCACATACACAACACAACAATACACCACACACATCATACATACCACACACACTACAAACACCACACACACACATATACTACACACATCACACACACCAAACACACACAACCACACACAAACCACACCCCACATACACTACACCCCACACACACATCCCACTTACACCACACACGTATACCATACACACACCACACAGAGCACACACACCACACACACTCCCCACATACACCACATGCATAACACACACAGATACCACACACTCTCCACACACAACACAACCACACACCACACATACATACCATACACCTACCACACACCAAACACACAACCCAACCACACACACACTACACACCTTCACACACACCACACACATCACTTACATATACACCATACACACCACAGGCACACACAGAGCGCACACCACACACACAACACAATCCCACACACACCATGCACACCACCCCCCACACACCACACACAGAGCACACACACACCACTCACGCAACACAACCTCACACACACCACACACACCACACTACACACCATACACCAACACACACTGCACACAAATGCCACACAAACTCACCACACATACCACACACATACCACAGACACCACATGCACACTCACTATATACATACATGCTACACACACACACCACACACAAACCACACACTCACCATATAGGCACACATCGCACACACCACACACACTCATCATATACACACATCACACACATAACACAAACCACACACAACAAAAACACACACTTACCATATACACACGTCACCCACACATGACATGCCCACAAAACACACAACACAAACACACACTATACACACACCCCACACATTACATACTACACACATATACAAATCACAATACACACACCACACACACCACACACGTAACACTCATCACACACAATACACATGCATCACACACAGTACGCACACCACATACTCACAATAGACACACACTTCACATGCACACCACTCACACACCCTACATACCACATACACTTCACACACATGCATCATACATACCACACACACACTGTACGCATACCACACACACACCACATGCACACAATACACATATACACCACACACACACCACACACAGACAAAACACACACTCACCATACACATGCCACATGCACATCATTCGCACACCCTACACACCACACACTCACCAAACACTTACACCCTGATGTTAGAGGTTGATTCTATCCCGACTTTTGAGTTCAAAGTTTTAAAAATATTTCTTTCTGAATTCCAACAGCAGCTTACCCATTGGTGACTTTTCCCATCATTGAGTGGAGAGTAGGATTTTAGCTGTGGCCAAGAGGAGAGTCTGTGAGAGGTCTTGGGTTCAATGATGGCTTTGCTGCAGCATGGAGCAGGTTCCACTGAAAGTGGTAACAATGCGTCCCACTCCTCCCCTCTAGGGCAAACAAGGGCAGGGCTGCGTCCCAGAGAGACACCTGCTCAGACAACGCGTGCAGCCAAACAGACTATGCATTGTGTCGTCTCCAAACCATGCAAGCCACGCGGCAGCCTGGTGATGAGGCCTTAGCACTCGGCCTCCCGTGTCTCGTGGCCCCGGGAGGGACATGAGGACATGTTTCCATTTCAAGTAGGTGCAGATGTTGCTTAAGTTTGACAAGTGCTGCTCTAGCCCATAGTTCAGCACATTTTTGTACTATAGCCTTTCAGTAAGGCAGAAGAATTGTGGTTTCCTTATCACCAGCTGTGATTGGGAGCACGTACACTTAGGGGTTCAGCCACTGTCAGCCTCGGGGGTTACAAGAAGGCTGTCAGGGAGCCTCAGCCCACTGCTCTGGTGGCCGTGGGAGCTGTGGCTGGAGACAGGCTCAGGTGGCAGAGGTGCCTCACCTCGTCCTGGCCGCTGCCCACAGACTGGCGCCTGGGCATTCTCTGCTGCACAGGCTGCCCCACCAGGGAGCAGCGGAGCCAACAGTCCCCGCCCTGAAATGTGGATCTGGGGAACGTACAGGGTGATTCTGCCGCTTTGGGTGACGTATCTGTAACGGGAAGAACTCGGGGGTTGTTGGGAACCCTCTCCACCCCAGAGGTGGGAGACAGCCAGACTCTTGGAGCTGGACACAACGGGCAGAGGGAGGAAGGCCCCACGGCTCCTCCAACCCTGATCCCAGCAAACCTCCTATCTGGCCTTGGGATCCAACAGATTCCCTAACATTCTCCCAGTCAATGCAACACCTCTTCCTTCCCCCAGGCAGGTCCAGTGGTTTCACGTTCCCCGCAACCATCCGTGCCACGCAAGCTAGGGAGGAGCCAACCCCAGCTCGAAAGCCCTGAGGATGAGCTAGGCCAGCCCAGGGGACCACGATCTGCTGGACTGTGGTTCAGTGCCCTCCCCCTCCTCTAGGAATAGAAGGAGAGAGAGACAGAGAGACAGAGACAGAGATAGAGACAGAGAGGGAGAGACAGAGACAGAGAGACAGAGAGAGAGAAAGAGACAGAGAGAAAAAAGAGATAGAGACAGAGAGGGAGAGACAGAGACAGAGAGAGTCAGAGACAGAGAAAGAGAGGGAGAGAGATAGAGAGAGAGAGAGAGAGAGAGAGAGAGAGTGATTGACAGGTGGAGAGAGGACGAAACCTCAAGAGGTCCCTGGACTCTGACACCAGACCCACCGTGGGGTTCCCAGTTGCAAGAACTTTGCACACAAGCTGGCTCATGTAGTCTTGGGCTTGCCATCAAGAGTGTTCTATGCACTGAGCTTCCTTCCTCCGGCAGCCCCCTGAGACGCCATGTGACTTGGGCACAGCTGGGACAGTGGGTGTGGGACAGTTCTTGGCCACGCAGGCTGCAGCACCAGTACGGCCCCCTCCTTGGGTGCCAGCCTCGGGTTTGGATCCAGGAGACAGGCTCAGCGAGGCTCTGCAGGATCTACAGCTAGCTGTGCCATAGTGGGCCCAGGAGGGAGCACTGATTTTGCAAAGGCAGGAAAGGCTCAGACGCAGCTGCAGGATCCAGGAGCAGCCCTACTGTGTGCTGTCCACCTGTGGACCTTTCTTCCATGTGTGCGCAGGAGGGCTGCGAAGCCGAGTGTGCGTGAAGGCTGAGAAAGGCCATGTGTGGAAAGAAGCCGGAGTGCTCTGTGCAATGCGGTCCCAAGCACAGGGGACCGAGGGGGCCTCCTGGGCTGGGGCAGGGTGGAGCACCCCCACCGCAGCACCTGCTTCCTGGGAGCCCTTGCTCAAGGGGGCCTCCTGTCCCTGCTTGTCCTGGTCCCCAGAGCTGTCCTGTGCTCCCGTCAGCCCTGTGTCTGCTGCCATCTCTGTGGTCTCGCCCTTTACCTCAGCCTGGTGGGAGCAGAGTAGGCCCCTGGGTGGCCATCAGCTCCTGTTATCAGTAGAGCCCCCTCCACCCTCCATGCAGGCCGCGGGTGCCCCGTGCCCGCCACGGGCCCTCGTCCCAGCTGGTCCTGGGGGACTCTCGCGAGGAGCGTGCCACAGGGCTGGCACAGAGCTCATCTCTGCCAGAGGCCTCTGCCTCTCACCAGCGTGGGCCCCTCACAGGCCCTGGCTTCCCCCACAGGCCCTGGCTTCCTTCTTTGCCTCTCGCTGGCCTGAAGGAGAAGGCAGTGGAGGGGCTGGTAACCCGCGTCTCACTGCTCACTTCGGGGTCACCCCAGCTGTGCCTTTGTCAGCTTGGGGTGGAAAATGAAAGGGACTTTGTGAAAACAGGGCCCTTGGAGGCTGATGGCCACATATCTGGAGCAAGGTCGGGACACCAGGGACCTGGGGTGCACAGGCCGTCCCACCATGGTGCAGGCCCCGTGGGGACAGTTGCAGCCCTGCCCGTGTGCAATGCAGGGAGGAGATGTGGGGCTGGTCCACCCCAGTGGCCTTTGAAGCAGGAAGCTCAGTATGGACTCGAGTTGTTGTTTATTATTACAAGAACAAACTTATTTTCCGAGAGATCACTCTTAAGCAGGCACTCTGCTAAGGGCTTTACTATTTAATTTTTAGAACTATCTTATGAGGCAGGAACTATTTTTATATTTATTAAAGAGAGGGTTAAGAAACCTGCCCAGAGTGGGAGGGGACGTCCCCTCAGTATGTTTGCAGGAGAGCCAAAGGGGCGCCCTGGGGGATGGCGCAGAGCGGGAGGGGACCCAGTCACACAGTGGTGGAGACGGCTGGAGCCAGGCCAGGCTCTGAGGAGGCCGGGAGACAGGCGCGAGGCCAGGGCTGCTGCGGGAGCCACGCCAAGGACAGGGTGTGTGCTGGGAGGCGGCCGTGCTCTTGACGATCCTTTAGAGTTGGCTCTGAAGCTCGCCTGCAAAGCTGTTTTGCTCTTTGAAGAGAAATAACATCACTTAAGATTTCTGTTTTAACAGAAAAAGAAAATAAATACAAATATTATTAATCATATTATTTGCAGGAATGTGAGACCAGCCCGGTTCAACATTTGGAGTCTATCTGAGCAGAGACAACCTCTTGAAAATGGAAAATCCCTCTTTTTTAAAAAACAGTTGCTGAATTTTAGAAACACATAATGTGTGTTCTCTCTACATCCAATATAATCGAATGACAGCTTAGTGAGGACACCTTGTCACACCCAGGGGAACCCAGAGAAGGCAGAATGTCTCAGCTTCCTGTCCCACAGCCAGGGGTTCTCAAACATTTGTCTGTGGTCAGTGGCACTTGTGCCCGTGCAGGGGGTGGGGGACAGAGATTGGTCGATCTGCGTGTCATCACCCTCATTGACCAGCACCATCCCTCTCCAGCCACCTTTCTATCACCATCCATTCCTTCTCTCAGTTCACAAACACCCCGGGAACGCTCGCCAAGGTTAGCGGGACAGAGGAGGTCCCTGACTCTGAGGAGATGGTGTCCCCGCCACCCGTCCGTTCCATCCGAGCCCTTTCTTTCCACGGAAGCACAGACACCCCCTCTAACCTGCACTCTTTTCTTTAGGCAACTAAGCCTCAACAGTTGAATCTATCTAAAACTAAAAAAGAAGAAATGGCATTTTATTAGAGATTTTTTAAAGATAAAAAGTAATCAAGCCTCTAAAGAAAAGCCTCATCTCCCTGTGGCCTCAGCAGCCATCATGACACGCTGTAATTTGGAGAGAGAAGATGCATTATACTGCATCTTAATATCAGAAAAACCCACAGTCTTTGACTCAGCAGTCCCACTTTTAGGTTTGTCTACTGCAGAATAAAAGCCTTAGTACATAGACACTAGAATACAAAGGCTTTCATTTTCAGAATCATAACACAAACACGGAATCGACACAAATGTTCACGGACAGGGGCAGAGGTGAAAACATTATTGTAAGGTCGTACTGTGGAATCTAGTGCATCTATGAAAAGTAATGAATCAGTGACATCCAAATTAATCTGGAGAGATGTTCATTATTCAGTGAAATAAAACAAGCTGCTGAGTCCCATGTACAGTAGCATTTCATTTTTTTTTTTGTAAAAAGAACAATAATGGCACCCTGTGCATCTAAGCAAAGTTTAACCACGGCGGCTGCACCTCAGACCGGAAACATCGGACACTCCAGTGCCGGGGCGTGAAGAAGGTTAGGAGGGACATTCCAAACGATTTCAGCACACAGACCTTTTTTTAATTTTTAATTTTTTTATTTTTTTAAACTTGTTCCAATGAACATATATCACTTTCAAAAGGAAAAAAGAAAAGAAAAAAATCTAGTGGTTTAGAGGAGTCAGTCACAATAGTAACAAGACAGAAAAAGACTGAAAGCACAGCCCCTCGTGGAACGTTTCAGTGGATGAGAGAGCCCCTGTCCTGTTCTGTGCTGGGGGCTGGCAAATTTGTGGGTGTTCCGGGCTCCGTGGGCCGCATGGTCTCTGCCGTACCACGAGAGCTGCCCTGTGTGATAGACCTGTAAGCACAGCGCGTGACAGGCAGAGGGGGCCGGGCTCGAATGAAACTATTTCTCGACACCAGAATTTAAATTTGGTATAATTTTTGTGTGTCACAAGATATTATTTTTAAAAAAATATTTCAATCTTTTAAACATGAGTCTCCGGGCCATTCATGTTAGAAAGTCAAACAGAATCAGCATATTTCACTTTAGAAAAATACAACCCTCTCATCCCAATATGGATGGATGAAACCAGGAAAAAATATTTAATTAAGGGAAAAAAGTGCTTAACAAGGCCAGGAAATGTGGGAATAAAGAGATGCCGAGTTCTGCACGAGATGGGCTGTGTATGTCCCTCTTTATAACACAGAAATAAAAACTTTTTTAAAAGTGTGAAAACCATTCTCAACTTGTGCCCGTTTTGAAAAATGCTGTGGGCCAGATGTGGCCAGAGGCTGTGGTTGCTGACCCTGGTTCCAGGGCCGCACGGGTGAAGGTGGCAGGTCCTTGCCCTCAGACAGAAGCAGACAGGCAGTGGCTTGGGGGGAAGACAAACTCCTGCAGCCTCTCAGTCTTCATGGGCGTCACCTCTGGCGTCTCCCAGCCTGGGATTTGTGTCTAAAGCCAGGCTGCCCGGGCACGTGTGAAAGCTGGCCAAGCCCAGAGATTCCTCTCACCTGGTGGCCGGCAGGAGGTGTCCGCAGGCCTGAGGAGCTGCATGGCCTAAGGTCAATTTTCCTAGGTGGGGGTGACTCACCTCCAGCATTCCTGGTTCCTGAACAATAGCAGGTCCACGTCCACACAGCCCCAACTTGGATAAGGGCACACTTTCAAAGCAGTGGACTGACAAGCAATGCCAGGAAGAACTGGGCTTCCTTGCCACAATGTTCTATGTGGGGAGAGGAAGGATCCTAGCGTTATTTGAGGTGCAGAAAGATGGCTTGGTGGGCGTGGCAGCAGACTGGGCTGCAGATGCAGACGACAGGGATGCCTGCAAACCACAGCCGAGCGTTGGAAGGTCGCAGCCCTCCTTCCCCGCTAGAAGCAGGAGTCACGGAAAATAGTGACAGAGCTGAAAGCCAAGGGTTTTCCTGGGCGGGCACCTGACCTGACTTTATTCAGATCCCATGCTGTCTGAGAACAGAGGGTCGAAAAATCATTCTTTTGCTCAGGACGTGTGTTTTGCACAAATATCACTTTAAATAAATTTTCTACAGCCTTTAATAGATCTCTGTTCACCTCACTCAAATTAAACATTATTAAAGATAAAGACAGCATTTGGGCCTTAACGCATTCCAGGCCACCAGGGACCAACAGGAAAGAAATGATCCACAAAAGCCACAAATGCCACAGGATCCACAAAGCCACAGAAGCCACAAAAGCCACAAAAGTCTGCCATCTGCTGCAGATGGGATCTGAAATCATCTGGGCTTTGGAGGCGCAGCTGGATTCACCCTGGCAATGCTGTTTCCTCAGGCGGTGGCTACATTCTTAAGGAAAACGTAGGCCTGCTTTCTCCCAAGTCTACAGCTGCAGGCAACTTTAAGCCATTTTTGTTTGTACCAGAGCATTCTGTCTGTTGGGAATCTGTTTCAGTGACATTTGTTCAGACTGTAATTTTTTTTAACTGAAAAACCGAACAAAAAACATAACAAAACAGAACTGCAGAACTCAGATCTCATGAGTCATGGACTTGTCCTTTGGTTAAGAACCAGGTATGAGGAGTGACAAGGTGAGGAGGAAAGAGGGAGGAGAAGGGAGGGAGGAGAAATGGGATGAGGAGGAAGGAGGGAGGAGGGATGGGGTGAAGAAGGAGGAGGGATGGGGTGAAAAGGGAGGAGGGAAAGAGACAAGGTGAGAAGGGAGGACAGGTGGTAGGGAGGGAGGAAGGAGGAGAGAGGAGGAAGAGAGATGGAGTGAGGAGGGAGGAGGGACAGGGTGAGGAGGGAGAAGGGCTGGAGTCCGGACGGAAGGAGGAGGAAGAGGGATGGGGTAAGGAGGGAGGAGACAGGCAGGAGGAGGGAGGAGGGAGGAGAGAGGTCGCATCGCCCCACTGCGCTGCCCATGTCCACCGACTCGGGGACTCCAGCCAGCCAGGCAGCTACCGGGAAAGCCAGTGTGTCTGCCCTTTCACATGACTCAGAACATACCGGAAAACCAGCCAGCTGGTCTCTGACAGGGCATCAGAAAGTGCCACCTACGGAATCCCAGGTCCCCAGCTGCAGTTTGTCCCTCTGTTGCCAGCGCTTTGCAGTGTCCGTTTTCCCACTCTCAGACAAGGACATGGTCGGGTCTGCCCTGCAGACTGGGCGAATCCTCACCGCCCGGCATGCAGCTCGTCCTGAGGGCTGTGGGTTCTTCATGGGGCTTGCTTTGGTGCACCTGGCTAAATATTAACTGGGCTGGCATAGTGGAGAAGGGCTTGCTGTGTTTAGCTGAAGTGGACATTTATTCCTAACTTGTCAACCGGCTGCCTCCCATCCTTCTGTTCCTGGCGTGCTTGGGAGCTGAAAAGGAGAGCAGCTCTTGAGGCCTCTCCACCGGGCAGGGCAGGCATGACGGAGGTCCCGCCTGAACCTGAGCCACCATCAGGCTGGCTCTGGCAGGGATGCGGGCCAAGGTTAGAGCTGGCCTGACCAGGGCGCCCGGCGGCCAGACCTGAGCCGGGGCCCCTTTCTCGCCCACGCTCCATGTCCAGCCAGGGTCAGCAGGGGCTCTGCTCCAGGCAGTCACTCTGGGACCCAGGCTGTGGTTACTCAGTCTGGACTTGCTATTTATGGCATTATTTCAGTCCTGCTAGAGTTCAGTGAGAGCTTAGAAATTAGGGAGAAAGATTCACAGTAGGGGGCTGTTCCGTTCAGTGAGATTTTTCAGACACCTGCTTCCTCAGCTGTGCATCTAGTACCTTGGATCAGCAACCAGCCTTCCCTATGAGGATCATATCATTCAAAAGTGTGCTTTCAGTGGCATCCATCCCAACTAAAGTAAGTGTTAGACAGGCCAGGTCCAGATGTGGGCCATGCAGACCTCAGGGCCTACAGGGCTGCCACCAGACAGGCCAGGTGCAGATGTGGGCCATGCAGACCTCGGGGCCTAAGGGCAGCCACCGGACTCCTGAGACTCCGAAGGATTTGTAAATGATTCCAAGCAACTCGTGATTGGGGAAAGAAGAGGAGCTGCATGTCACACCTAGGCACCAACATTTAATTTTGGGATCCTTTAGATGGTAGTGAGAGTTGATAAACTGATTTCTTTTTAACAGGAAGTGTTTGACAATCATTGGCAAACTTGGAGGAAAAGTTTGGGGCACATTCGATATCTCTTTTAAAAAAACCACGCTTTTAAACAGAAACATCTGCTATTCTGGTATTAAAGGCTTTGGAATTTGGGAACTGGTGAGGGATGCAAATGCTCGTGTCACTTCATATTCACACCTTAAGAACCAGAGAAGTGATGGATTGCTCGCCCTTATGCCTAATTCCAGAAGGCACTCCTCATTGGCAGGTGTATTAAGAGAAAAAAAGTCTTCTTCCCATCTCTGGAAAGAAATTATCCGGGCATGCTGGGGCATACCAGCCGTCTAGCTGCGTGACACGTGGAAGCAGGAAGGTGGCTGGAGCCAGGAGTTCAGAGCTGCAATGAGCAAGGATTGTGCCACTGCACTCCAGCCTGGGCAAACAAGACCTCTTCTCCAAAGATAGGGGCCATTGACCAAAGACCCTCAGAGTGCCTGTGTTGTCAAAACTAGTCATGGCGCTAAAATTACCCGGCTTTTTTTCACTATTCTCAAGTAGGCAGTGGCGTTTCTACTGGTGCAAAATATGCACAAGGACATAGGAAGCTAAATGTCTTTATTTTTATTTATTTGTTTGTTTATTTGTTTATTTATCTGTGAGACAGAGTCTTGCTCTGCCACCCAGGGTGGAGTGCAGTGGCCCGATCTCGGCTCACTGCAACCTCCATCTCCCGGGTTCACGCCGTTCTTCTGCCTCAGGCTCCCAAGTAGAAGGGATTACAGGGCTGCACCACCGCACCCAGCTAATTTTTGTATTTTTAGTAGAGATGGGGTTTCGACATGTTAGCCAGGCTGGTCTCAAACTCCTGACCTCAGATGATCCACCTGCCTCAGCCTCCCAAAGTGCTGGGATTACAGGCATGAGCCACAGCGCCTGGCCTGCAGCTAAATGTCTTTAAAGAGTTCTATGTTTTGATTTCTAATGTATTTGTAGTTCACCTAAGAAATCATCTAGTCTAGTCTATCAATGCATTTATGAATTGAAATAAAGATGACAGTACAAAAAATTAAGCGTTTTGTCTTCTGCAATCACCGCTGCAGAAGAGAGGCAATGTAGTCAGCGGTACACTAGGTGTTAAGGTTTTTCATCTGGAAGTGACACACAACATTTCTGCTCAAATTTCATTGACCAAAGCACATCACACGGCCACATCTAACCCCATGAAGGGTGAAGTGCAGTCTCACGTGGGTGGAAGGAGAAGAAACATTTGTTAACTGCCCTAATCACTTCCCACCAATTTTGTGAAGAAGAGAAACACTTTTGAAGCTGTCTTAAGAAACATATGTAAGAAACATATCTATGCCTTCACATTACTGCATGTCATTTTCATATTCTTTGTAGTTATCTTTGTTTCACAGATTTTTATAATAAATATTATGTTTATAATCTAAGCCATAGCAAATTAAATAATAAATGTTTTTTCTAAAGGAACCCATAGAGTGTTACAGACAGGAAGTCGGAGTAGCCAGAATAAGCTGAGATGAAATCATCTCAAATATCTGTACCGCTGTTCCAACTTACAGCCTGCTGAGTCTTCCCGTAGGAAACCGTGTCCCTGTCAATGTTCCTGTGGGACCTGGCCAGATGTGGAGTGGGGTTCAGGCACGTGTCTCTGGCCTCATCCCGGGGTGTGTCTGGTGAGGCTCTGCCTGATGTCTCCAATCATACTGTTTATTTAAAAAACAATAATAAAACAAGAAAAGAAACAACTTTGCAAGGTATTTATTTTCAGTTCTGGCGACAGGGAGGAAAGGCTGACGCAGTAGACAGGAATCTCACTCACTGAAATTAGGCCAATCTGAAATCTACGTTTTCTGCCAGGCAGAAAAAAGAAAAGGTGTGATTTTTGTTATTTTTAATTTTTATCTTATTGGGAACAGAGGAAATCATTTCGCCATCCTGTTTTTTTTTCCAGGAGGTTTATTTAAGTCCCTCTGTTTTCCCCTGTGGTAGAGGTAACACTGATGAAGACAGCTGGTTCAGAGACTTATTAACGAAGGCATCTGCTTGTACTTCGATGCAGCTCAGCCGGGAAAAGTGCTGAAAGAAAAAGAAAAGCCGTTTTGCGTGAGGTGAGAACGGTGCTAAGACACGTCTGTTCTGGAATGCCCCGGGGGGATTTTGCCTCTCCCCAGGCTCACTTTCTGACTAAGGGAGACTTTCTGTCAGGTCTGAGGGCCAGCTTCTGTGATTCCCACCTTGTCTCTGCGGTCAGCTCGCGGTGTCCTAGGATCTTTGTGCTGCCTCTGCAGTTGCCTTTGGGTTCCATGTTTTCCTTGTTCCCTCCCATGCCTACCTGGATTGCAGAGTTAAGTTTATGATTATGAAATAAAAACTAAATAACAAAAAAAAAAAGAAAAGAAAAAAGAAACTCCAGAGCATCAGACTCGCTTTGTGGAGCTGTGCTGTTCTCCTCTTTGGTTTTCCTGTGTAAGGTGTGACCTGGGAAAGCCTTGGAAAATCTAGCTCAGCCCAAGGGAGGATCCTTAAAGGCAAATGCCCATCAGGGAGCTAAATTCAGCCTGACCCAGGAGCCCTTGACAGGCAGTCGCACTGCTCCATGCACCAGCATCCCCAGCTTGGGCCCGTGGTTCATGCCACCTGACAGGTGGTGTTGAAGCCACGATGAAAACACGAGTTTCCTAGCTGTGCTGTCGCCTCGGTGTGAGGACCACACCACACTGCAAAGGCCAAACATCCGTCTCTCTACGCGGAACGCTGTCACCAGTTTGCTTTTTCAAGCAATGATTATTTTATTATGAGATATTTTAAGCTTGCAGAAAACAATAAAAAGAAAAACTGCCTACACATCATTCGGCTTTATCAAATGTTATCATTTAGCTATACTTGCTTCATATCTTTTTAAAAATAAAGAAAACATCACATATTCAGTTGAAGCACTCGTTCTAGGTGGCTTTCGTCCCAAGACCATTGCTCTTTCCACTTCCCCAGAGGAATCATTATTCTAAACTGATGTTTACCATCCGTTGGTGTATTTGTATACTTGTATTACATGTGTACAATTGCATAAACGATGTAGCATTATTCTGAGTATTTCACGAACTTTGTAGAAATTACACTGTATGTATAGTTCTGAAACTTACTTTTTCAACTCGATGCTGGGTTGTGTAGCTTTATGTACTTAAGTTCACTCATTGCAATACTGCAAAGTGCTCAATTGTAGAATATACTACAATATGGTCATGCATTTTTCTCCTACTGAAAGACATTTTTGTGTTACCCATCTCTCTATTACATGAACAATCTACATTTTTGCTTCATTTCCTTGTGAAGGCTTGTCTGGTTTTAGTATCAAGGTAATGCTGGCCTAAGAGAATGCATTAGCAAATATTCTCACTTCTTCCATTTTCTTTACGAGTTTGTGTATGCATGGCATGATTTCTTCCTTAAATATTGGAAGAATTCACCAGTGAAGCTATTGGAGTTTCCTTTGTGGAAGGTTTTTAACTACAAATTCAATTTCTGTAATCAATATAAAAGTATTCAATTTACCTGTATTTCTTGAGTGAGCTTTGGGAATTTGTATCTTCCAAAAAATTTGCCGTTTAATCTACATTTTAGAATTTATTGGCACAAATTCATTCATATAACCCCTTATTATTCTTTCAGTATCTGTAGCACCAATAGCAATGTCATTTGTCAATTATGATATTGGCATGTTATACCTTCTCTCTTTTTTCTGATCAATCTGGCTAGAATTTTTCAGTGTTCTTGATTATCCCAAAGAACCATCTTTTAGTTCCTGCTTTACATCTTATTGCAAAGCAGATCTTTATTTTTCCTATCTTTACATCTTATTGTAAAGCTGATCTTTAGTTTTTCCTATCCTCTGTTTACATTTACCTTAATTTACACATCGTTTTTCCAGTTTACTAAGGTGAAAGCCAAAATTATTGATTAGAGGCCTTTCTTCTTTTTTAATATGTGTTTAGGGCTAGCAATTTCTCCTTACTTTCTGCTTTAGCAACATCTCACAAGTTTTGATATATATGTTTTCATTTTCATTCAGTTTATAATGCTTTCTCTCATTGCTTTTTTTTGTTTTAGAGACAGA